CCCGATCGAATCGACAAGTATTTTTGTCATTATGTCGCCATACTCCGAGGTGACCTCATAGTCGCGAGTCGCGACTGTCAACAACTGCGAAGCGACGAGGAAATNTAGGCATGATGTTTTAGCGCGTTTTGTCCGATGACCTCATTATATTGACGCGTGAATCGCACCACACCCGGGTGAGTGCTGTGCTAACATTCTCACATGGGAGTAGCTCATATAGGGCATGAAACCTTTAGATGCGTTAGTGCTCCAAGACATGCGCCATTATCGATAAATGGATTTTGCTGCCTCATCCAGGAAACGTAGGTTTTGCTGGACCATTTCTTGAGTCTGATGCTCTTCAAAAAGAAGGATACATGCTCGCTGGATAGTGTCCAGAAAAGCCTCTCGCAGAAATTCGCCCTGCATTGTATGGGTTCACCTATGAATTTATCTTCGATAGTACTGAACGTCGCCGCGTCTCCCCTCTCTATCAGGAGCGGCAGCAGTAGATCCCGTCAACTTCCTTGAGCGAGTCATATCCAAAACTAGAGGTTCGGCTTATATAATCAAGAATTCATTTGCACGAACACAAGTTACATACTCAGAATATATCCTATATGGGTGACACTTCTTCCAAGTAGACTGAACGAAAGGACATCATGTGTTTTCTCTGAACTCCTTCAAGTTTTGTTGTCATTTTCTTATGGCTTGCTCTCGACTTCTCGGTTCTCATTCCGAATCATTTTGTTTCTCTATTAATTTTGCTGTAATAACAAGAAAAAAGCCTCCTTCGGTACCGTCGTTTTATTTGCATTCAGGCTACTATTGACATCGCCATAGTAGGGGCCAATGGCGTCCAATAAAATTCAAAATTACAGTATGAGGTCATGGGCTTCTTTTCTTGGCCTAGAGCGACGCAATTCAACTCTTTCTTGCTAACCAGGTGCTCGTTCTCATCAAAATGGGCTGGCGATATGACGAATTTGTAGCGGTACACGCTTCTACCCCGGTAGCTTTTGCTTACCCTAACAGTTACCTGAGGAACCGTTGTTCTACTTCAGAACCTGATATAACCGTATGGTTGCAGAGTCAAATTTTTCCACGCCTATTTCCTTCCCTCAGTCATTTGGGATGGTTCCTTATGGCCTTCATTCTCTTTACATTCCAATGGTTTTTCGAATGTTCTAAATCGTTTCGGTCTCTAGCAGGGTAATCTTTGGATGCAGATCGCTGACCCACAAAGGCCGGATTCGAAAGCGCTGGCTGCACAGGGTGAAAAGGGAAAACTGAGCGCAAATCAACGTGAGTTTGAAGTTCGTTAGACCTGCGCTTTTGATATTGTTCAGATCGCAGATCGGCCTCTTCGACAAAACCACCGTGGTTAGGCAGTTTCCAGAAAGAATATGTGACGAAAGAACGGTCAAAAAACGTAGTTGAATTGTCAGGCTGCGTCTTCTCCGGACTTTGGGCTCACTTTCTCTTTCGTACGATCCATATCCTGAGGGAAAGGTTGTTCGCACTGGTGGCAGAACTTCCTCAGATTTTAGATTCGCCAGATATTACCGTGTGAGGGTTTACGAAAGCCGAGCGTGTTTTTTTATTGAAACGAGTTAGATCAAGGCTACGTGATCGAGGGAAAAACGCATATAGGCCCTGGAGATGCAGAGATGAACATCAACTAGACGATCGACGAATGGTGTGAGCGCGAAAAGAGTCGGAGAGGTGCGATCACGGAGATAGCGTAGACTTGCTGACGACGGAGACGTGGGGCGAATCGGCACGACAGGTCAGCCCCCTTCGCGCATGGCAGTAATGCACGCTGCACTGTCGCCAACCAGACCTATCTCCCCAGAGGAGCAACAGGCCATCAACGACCTCAGGTGGGACTAACTTTTAGTTATTCCGCACTATTAGCAGCACTCTTGTCACCGAGCACACCTGTCTGAATCTCTAGAACGATCCTGCCCTCGATAGAATGCTTGGAGGATTCGTATGTGTTGCGATGGTTACGTGCTAAGGACCTACGATTCGACGAAACTGCTGATGCCCTTAAGAAGCATGTTGTATTCCGGAAAGCATGGGAACTCGACACTATCTCTACTTGGGAAGCACCAGAGGTCAGTCCATGTTTACTTCCCCACCATTTTACACCGTTGTCTCTCACTTGGTACTGCCCGATCGAATCGACAAGTATTTTTGTCATTATGTCGCGACACCATACTCCGAGGTGACCTCATAGTCGCGACTGTCAACAACTGCGAAGCGACGAGGAAATCGGGACATTTTCGTGTAAAATCTCGGAGACCTGGCGAACTTTAGCGATTGTTGTCGTACAGGGAGGGGTTGTGGGGTGGGGAAGGATGGTGTAATTGCACAAAGAAGAGCACCAATGGGTGGTTCATGTGACAAGTCCTTTGTTGATAGTTTTAAGTGCGAATAACACCGCGTGATCAAGATAATCGAACATTCATTTTTTAGGTTCGATATAAAAAACAAACTTGGTCTTTGATGACTTTCAGGGGGTGTGTTTTGATGGCAGCCTGTTAACAGCGACTTGGGCCATCTCGTAGATATTTCTATGTCGTACCAGAGTTCTTGGTGGATTTTACTTCTACAGTGACTCGTCCAGCCCGACGTCCATTTGCGATGAAATTGGCCCCTTCAACTTTTCGAGACCATTTTTTACTATTGCTATATTACTATGTTTCTGTGAATTGACATTTTTCGTATCGTTCGAAATCATGACGGCAAATTTTCTTGGGCCATCTCGTAGATATTTCTATGTCGTACCAGAGTTCTTGGTGGATTTTACTTCTACAGTGACTCGTCCAGCCCGACGTCCATTTGCGATGAAATTGGCCCCTTCAACTTTTCGAGACCATTTTTTACTATTGCTATATTACTATGTTTCTGTGAATTGACATTTTTCGTATCGTTCGAAATCATGACGGCAAATTTTACTCATATTATGTCCCCAAATGCTCTCCTCTCCAGTCCCCTTCCTGTCCATCCACCAATTTTTTTTGACGCTATGTCCGTAGCGTTTGTCTGCCTTTTCCCCCATACCGTAAACCATTAATCGAAGCCCCTACGATGTTGTCGGTAATCATTGCTAAATATCGTTGACGTCTCTTTTTCATGTTCCAATTCTCCGCCGATCTTTTCATCTTTCCTTCGTTATCAATCTTTTCTTTGCAAGTGCTGAGTGCTGTCATGTCTTCCTGAAACGGATTCCCTTACATTCGGCTACGGCGGCTTTGTCCCCGGATCGGGTGACGGGTTTCCCCACCTGCCTTTTTATGTAACCTTTACGCTAAGTGTAACCCTGTTGTCCGCTATGGATTTCCAGTTTAGCGTTATTCCCCAGGTGACTGCTTTCAGATGCCTTTGAGTAGTCGATAACCGGGATCGGGTAATGCTGATTACTTACCCTCTTATAAACAATTGCCGGAGCGAAGGTAGACGACAGCTTGGGTACCACTCTGTGATTAGGTGGAGAAAGAAAGGGGGCCCTGAGGGGCCCTGAAATAGTCGGTTACTGGGTTCCTGCTGTCTTA